AAGGGTAGTTGTCACATGTCGGATTCTGTGGAGAGCTATTTGCTGACGCGCAAAGGCGTGAGAGCACGTGTCTGGGTAGGTCATCACTAAGCACGTAAGGGCATGCATGCAATGCATTGCATTGGTTTACAGGCGAGTGTATCATTGTGAAGGAGGATGTGGTAGATCCTGTGACCTGTCCATCACTGGGACTTGGCTGCTCGTGCAGTTGTAGATTGTATTTTTTGTCGTTTCTGACTTTTCTAAGTTTGTCGTTTCTCCCTTTGATTGAAAACTAGGAGGCTTCTGCACGCATAACTTTCTACCTCGCTTCCTTTGCTATGCTTGTCGTTGCACGACATTCCAGAATACGTGAAACAGGGTTGTTGGTGGTTCGCGTAGGACTTCTGCGTTGTTATCAGCCCGTGTATCTCCTTGGGCCCATGTATCTCCGTTGCACAAAAAACAAAAATCATGGCCCTGTATCTTTCCATGTTAAAATTCCCACGAAAAATGAAAGTTGAAAAACATTCCATAAAAAAAAAATCCTTCATATTTATAAATTATCATTCCAATGTTCGTCCAATTCAAAATTTTTCAGTTTTATTTGATAAGATCCCGTCTAAATATGAGCTTTTCCTTCCAACTACATCTATTTGTTCAAGATGGAATGAAAGTCTGGACGAGTTTATGAAATGTTTTAATTAAACTTTCATTCTACTACAAGAAATATCTTCTAATTTAGATTGGATTAACCTATTTATGACCGAAAATTCTTACTTAGAGTGACAGTCCAATTAAAATATTTCATGAACTCGTCCACACTTTCATTACATCTCTGGCATGCAGCTCAAATAAGAAGGGATACCCCATTGTTGGAAGAAAAGTTTTTAAGTAAGATGAAAATTTTTAAAATTAGAATGACATTTTTTAAGATGGAATAAAATTTTTAAATTTAGAATGTAATTTCACTATAGAATGATTATTTAATTCTAGGAAATTTTTCCGTTGTAGCGAAGATTCGCTCTCATTTTGCACATTTCGAGATCAATCGTGGAAACTAAGAGTGAATCTTTCACTAGAACATGGAAAGATATAGCGCCACATTTCGAGTTTGAAAACAGCCTGCCCCACGGACATGGATCACTAGACTGCAGTTACAAACTCTGCCTTGCGACAACCACGCGACGGAGGAGTTTGGCCTGCAGTGTAAACTCTAGACGGGATTGGACTTCAAAACG